TGATCATTTTCCATTGTTCCACTGAGTAACTTAAACGTTCTTTACTTTTCTTTCTATTTTGGCAATTGGTTGACGTCAAAAAAGACTTTCTCATGACGAACTTAATTTTTTAATGAGTAATAACTTACTGTCGTACGACTAACTACTTTGTCTACTTGATTTCTGCACCTTAAGGTGGTACTAAAGCTATTATTAAAATGTTAAATAATGTATTATAAAGTTTGTCACCTTGATTTCTACCTTAAAGCTGATACTTTGAATAGCTTTTTCCGACGCCTAAAGTAAGGTTTATCATTCATACAACTAGCTGACAAATATTTTTTTATTTTTGTACAAACACTGAATTTAGAAATAGTTAAGCGGCTGCCGATTTGTCGATATCTTATTTTCATTTTATGCGTGCAAATGACTTTCCATTTGGTTTTCGTCAAGACAGCTCTTTCACCCGTGAAAGCATGTTTTATCGGTTAAAAACTACAAAAGGTTAAATCGTAGTCGCGGTTTTTATTCAAAACTAAATAGGAATAGGGATGAAATACAATAACCTAACACTAGCTGGCTTTTGAGAGATAAAAATACAATACCCTAACACTAGCTGGCTTTTGAATGATAAAAATGCAAAAAAAAAAGTCTTTTAATTATCGAGAGTTTCAAGTTTTCTTATCAAAGTGTATTTAAACTTTATTTAAAAAATTGAAAGAAATTAATTACTCCGTTAATTTTCTTATAACTCTCCACCTTTTTTATATTATATCCTGACATTTAACTTTTTTAACTATGCCCATAGTATAAATAAACATTAAAAAGCAGACTACATCACATTAATATATCATTAATTAATAACTTTAGTTTAATGATGAAACACATTTGATTAATTTTTATAACACGATATTTAAATATTTAAATAACGTGTAAATAAAAATAATATTAAAAAATAAATTTTTTTAATATAAGGATAAATTCTTATATTAAAAAAATGTCGTAATATAAAATTTTTTAAAAAAGAAGGGATTTTATGTAAAGGCAGTGATGGTACTTTTACATTCCCATACTTTCTTTGAGGTTCTTTCTGTTTGTATTATTATTATTATTATTATTAAAAGTTGAGGCTTGAGTTTGTAATCACCATAAATCTTTTATATTTTATTTCTTTCATATAAATATATATTTTTTTATTTAATGCATGATCAAAATAGTAATAATAATAACAATAATAACTAGGGGACCAAGAAAATAAAAATGTTTTTTTTATTATTGTTACAGAAGCAGTGTAAAGTATTAAATATCTTCGTATTCTTGGAATATTTCAAACATCTTCATATTTAGGATTTTCAATCATTTCACCTTTTAATTCCAAATCTTGATTGCGAAGTACGTCTCGCGACTCCCCTTTCGGCGGCACTACGTCTAGTTCTTGATTTTGATATTAGTTTTAAATGCTCCAAAAACTTTATGAGCAGGTTGTTGAACCATCTTTTTGTTTTCCATTGTTTATTATCATCAAGATGTTTTATTTTATTACGCTAATATATAACAGATTCATTATTTTTATTTGGCGTTTCTACATGATACCATGCATATGACTCCGTTTTATCTTTCAAAAAATGGAAAAATTATGATGTTATTTGTGTTATTTTTTTTTATTAAATTTCGGTTTATTAAATATCATTAAATGAAATGAAGTATATTTTATAAAAAACTTGGTTTATTCATAAAAATTTGTATACGTCATTGACACTAATAAATAACAATAAAATTGAGCATGTAATTATTTAGTTAATTTAAAAAAAAAAAAAACTTATTAAATATCGTCGGGGATATTGCAAATCCGCGTAACTAGCATTGGCTACTATAATTGGATATTAATAACTTTAACACCAAATATCTATTGTTGACATTACAAAAAACATGAATAAAACTCACTATGCTAAAATGAACTAAAATCTGTTAGAATAAAAATATATAAAGTTTTAAACTTCTTCAGTAAAAACTTTGTAGTGCAGATACGCGGTATTAAAGTGAGTTTCCACTCATCCGTTTTTCTACGGGAAGGGGAAAGGGAACGGAAAAGTAGCATGCGCAGTTTTCTTTCGGACAAATTTTTATTACGCATGCTCACGTGATTATTTTTTCCGTTCCCGTAAAAAAACGGATGAGTGGAAACTCGCCTTTACCCAACGCAAGTCACGCGGACTTGCACGTCATATCCCGACGATATGACGTGTTTCAAAAGTTTCGTAAGCAGCAATTCTAAAAGTGACATTTTAGAAAATCTTTATTTCGAAATAAATTTTTATTTTTTATTACCATTTCAAAAACAAAAAAAAAAACTTTGAAATACTGCGATAGCCAAGATAAAATTTCATCAAAAACTTTTTCATTAACATCATTTCATCAAAAGCAAGTTTTTTCACTCTAGCATTTTGCGCACATAAAAAAATTAAATTTTGTTTGTAATATCTTTTAGAGTGAGTTTTATTTTTTTTTAATTTTTTTATATCTTCCAAATAACAACCCTAGTTCCATACAACTACAACAAATCTAGTTACATACAAACAATAAAATACAACAATACCATGAAAACATTACATACAACAACAAATCTAGTTACACACAGGCAATAAAAACATTAAAAGAAGAATTATTCAAAAAACTTTAGATTTAAAAATTAGTAATAATTGTTTGACAATTTTTTTTTAAATAATTAAATTAGTCTAATGACTTTGCCATACTTGTATAAACTTTTTTGAAAAAGTTTAATAACTTATATATTGTAAAAAGTGTGACGTTACATGACGATACTGTTCCACGTATTACGAACGTTTGATTAAATTTATTGAAATTACTTTACGTTGCGAAGAAATAGTAAAAAAACAACAACCATTAATTCAAAAAAGTTTTGCTTCTAGGATTCACATTTTTAAATATATTATAAAAAACAACTAAAATACGACTAAAATATAAATATTATTATATTTATATTTTATTAATAATAAGTTGTATTTATATTTTAGTAATAATTATATTTTAATAATACATACTAAAATATAATTATAATATATATATATATATATATATATATATATATATATATATATATATATATATATATATATATATATATATATATGTATATATATATATATATATATATATATATATATATATATATATATATATATATATATATATATATATATATATATATATATATAAAAGGCCGGCGCGATAGGGGGGTGTGGGGTGTGTGAGACCCCTCTATCAATGATTTTTAGTCAGCAAACTGGACCCTTAGTCGGCAAATCGGACCTTTTTAGACTAGTTAGTCGGCAAATGCCGACCCTTTCGATATAGGTTAGACAGTCGGCAAATGTCGTAATGACAGTCGGCAAATTTTGGAAAACGAGAACCCTTTTTCTACAAAATGAAATGAATGATTACTTATAAACTTTTCTTTATATTAAGTGCCGTGGCTAGTGGATCGGAGCCCTCCCCCTCTCATCCCTAGAAAAAAAAGCTCTTCTAATTATAGCCGCAAAATCTAAAAAAATTTTCCCCTAGGTATTACTGACAAAAAGAAAAGAAAAAAAAAAGGAAGGGGTGTGGGGTAACCTAGCCGCGGTTCTTTTTATATTGTAATTTGTTAAAAAGCTGTATATGTAGCTATCGTGTATTTTTATTTAAATTTTATATTTTAATTTGTGTAACTTGTTCAATCAAAGTAAAATGAAAAAAAATTATATTTAATTTTTGATGATTAAAACAAAACCAGTGAAGTATTGTTAAAAATTTGTCCTTTACTTTTTATAATCACAAATTATTAGGATAAATACAAATATAAAAACTTTCCCGATATTTTTCTATCTTTGTAGTTTCTTTTAAACGCAACGTAACAAAAGAATTAGCTTGTTAATTACTATATTAGTCAAACTTATAGACTGTTTTATAGAAATTTGTTGAACATTTTTTTATAAAGTAATAATACGAATGCGCTGCTGATTGGTTTCCATAGTATAAATTTAGCATTTAGTAAAAGCATTGCTCAAACAAATTTTTCATGGATATACTTTTAGCCTACTTTATTTTATTCCGTATTATATATTTTTTACTTTCCGAGAACAAATTGATATACAAATCGTAAAGAGCCTATTTCTCAAAAAGAATTTACGTCATTTTATGCTTTTGTTATTTTTTGGCATTGTAATTAAAAATAATTTCCATTATTATTTATCTCGATTATTCAAAATCAGTAAAGAAAGATTAGTCTTATTGATTATAAACGAGTTGAAACAAAGTATACTTTTACGTATATATAGATGCAATTATAACAAAAAATAAGACGAGCTAAAAATTTCGCGATAACTTAAGATTTGATTTGGTTAAAATAATAAACGAGTAAAAGTACGTTTGTAATAGCTATTTTTTTGGTTTGTTTGATATTAAAAAAATCTGTTCCTTAAGAATGTTATTGATTAAATAATAAAAAAATAATAATTAAACGATATGGTCTTGAAGTTTGAGCAATATTTTTATCATCATGTTAAATAATGATGATAAAAAAAATACTAATTTGCTTCCATTTAAGTTTGTCATATACCTCTATACTCCGCGTATGTAATTAACTTCAACGAAGAGTTTCATTTTTCTTGTAAGTAATTTTTTATTATTTCGATTTTATTAAAATTAATTGTCCTCAGTTTTACAAATTTGAAAAAATATTTATATTAACTCCAAAATAAAAAAACAAAAAACAACACACACAAAAAAAAGAATTAAATGCAAAATTGCGTCCAAATATCGTTTTTAACTCGCAGGTGTTTTTAAGCAAATACGTCTTCAGTTATTGTTTTGCAAATATTAAGAAAACAAAAATAGTTGAAAACGTAAATACAGAATTAAAAAAGCTTCATAAGATTTTAATAAAGCAGTAAAGAAAAAAAGAAAATAAATAAAGAAAAATATAAAATCTAAATGGTAAGCGTATTGCTTATTAAACTTAAAATCTGTTTTGAATCTAATTTTATAATTCTTTTTAACCGAATATATGTTGTCACTAACCATAAAAGCCTTTTAATTGCGCGACTAATGATTTTTTTTTAAAACATCACAACAACTTGACGAGATTATCATCTTGGAGATGTAATACGATTAAAAAAGAGAGATCAATAGATATTGAAGATAACTACTTACTTTTAAAAATAATAAAAAAGTGAATTCATGGTTGTTGCTTAAAAACTTTTATTCTTATAATTTATCTCATTAAGAAAAAAAATTCTAAATGTATATAGTTTTTATTTGAAAGTGGTCTATATTTTTTTAACAAAAAACTCGCCAGACAAGATGTTTGCAATTCGTGCTACCTTTCAATTATTGATAATTCGTAAACTTGTTAATAAAAAGCTGATAGACATCTTTTTAATAGTTGAATATGTATTCACCTAAATGTTCATAAACTTTTATGATGAAACTTCGGAAAAAATCTCGCACAAATGACGTAAATTCTCACATTAAAGTATAAAGAAGTTTAAGCTAATTTTGACATGAATCTAAAGTAATTATGCGGTTGACTTTGTGGTGGCAAGCATTCTCCACAATTGTTATCTCCAGGTTGTGTGACGGATAACTAAAAAAATATTCCTGATTTGGAATACAGTACATTAAGCAATAATAGTAAGTAGATAGTATTTTATTAGCTATATATAGTTTCTCTCATTCGCGCAAGTACGCATAGATTTATATACTAACGCTCGCGTAAAAACAAAAAAACACGCGCTAAACGCGTGGCGTGAAAAACGCGTGGCATGCTTTGTTTTTGTTTTTTTGGAAAAGAAAAACATTTTAAACTTGTTTTTTGCATGTTATTCCAAAAAAAAAAATTTCAAAAAAACTTATGAAATTAACATAATAAAATTAATAACAAAAATAGTATAAAATATGAAAATAATGTGGAATTCTATAATACTCTCTGTTAACGTATAAAGATTTTTTTTTTCATAATATATTATTTTATGAAATATTTAAGTTTTTTCATAATATATTTATGGAATAATAAGAAATAAAATAAAAGAGTTTGTAAAATAAAATTTCTTAAAACATTTCTATGTAACTCTATAAATATATTATACTATATTCAACAAAGTTTTAATAAACCGGAAAAATGATTGGTTAGTATATCATGTAACGGTATATGTATTTTTTACTCAGTATGTGACAAAGTCACGACTCAGTGCATGTCTTAAATAATTTTAAATAAGAACCAATCCTTCTATGTATAATCTATAGATATCTTTTGAAATATTCTGGCTTGGATGCTAATCCACGGAAACTGTCGCTCTTTAACGTAGAGTATGAAAACGGTATGTTTTTTTGTATTTTATTTTTTTTTTTAATTTTTTTTTTTTTAGAAACAATCTGACAAAGGTTATAATAGTTATTGATAGTTGTAATAATACGTCAATAAGTTTTTTTTTTTGTTGTTACAGAATCTTATTATTAAGCGATTTTGTATCAAAGATTTCTAAATCGGTGAAAAATTTATTCAAAGTGGTTGCATATTAGAAAAATGTTTGCGAAAAACCGAGAAAACTACGAAATTATACAAAGAGATTGAGTTTAAGAAATTTGTTTGGGAAAAACAAAAAGCCGTGTAATCTCCAGTATTATTAGAAGAGATTTGTGCGAAAAATATACGTTTACGAAATGAAAAGAAAACCTCAAAAGCTACATAAGAAGAGATCAAGTAAATAATTATGTTTGCAAAACAAAAGCCGAGCTTTTTTAAGTAAAACTTGAAAGGATCGAACGTGGGTGAAAAAAAAAAAAAAAAATTATGATAAAATGGAATTTAAAAAATATTTTAAAATTATGTATGTCTAATTATACTTATGTAAACATCTTGATTTTTTGTGTTAGCACATATATCAACATCAAATTTAATGTTAACAAGTATTAACACCAAAAGCAAAAATCAGTGGCGTATTTAGAAAGTTTGAAAAATTTATGTAGAATGGTTTTGTTACTAAAGTTGAAGAAGTGCCGTTTAAAAATGAAATTCGTTTGTATACCAAATCAATGGCAACCTAATTAATGTGTACTTCCTGAGTATAAAAAGAAGATAGCGAGAAAGGAAATATTAAGTAATCTTTCGTTTTATAAAATTAAATGAGCAAATTTAACAAAATTTGCAAAAGTTGCATAGAACTTAATTCAAATAATTCGTTCTAATATTTTTTTATCAGTTAAAACGAAAAAGTAAAATAATTATAAATGAATCTGAAAAAAAAAGTTATAAAAAATATAGACAATTTTAGTAATTTACATATCAAGATACGTATTATTTTCTCCTCGCTTCTCTCATATATTTACAGATATATAAATGTATATATATATATATATATATATATATATATATATATATATATATATATATATATATATATATATATATATATTATATATATATATTATATATATATGCACATTTATATATGTATCTGTGTATATAAAACAAAAGTGGCATAACGCGTTTTATGAGTTGTTTATAACACTGTACTATAGAAGAATATTGCTTTATAGTTTATTTTAATAACTGGAAAAAATTTTTTAAAAGGTTTTTTGATGATTTTTATTATTCGCTTCATTCATTGTAATCAGTTTTTGTTGCATTTTTTTTTTATAATTAAGGAAGTAAAAATAAAATTAAAGTAACTTATATTGTTTACTTTTTTCCGCTTATGGTTTATTTATTTTTTAGGCGGAATACCACATTAGATAAAGCAAAAAACGTAAAAATTCCAATCAAGTCGTTTGTTTTTTATTTAAGAATCATTAAGATTAAACGTTTTTAACCAATCTAGATTTAGCAAACTCAACATACTTAATGTATTGTAATAAAATTATATCGTGACTTACATACTGTATAAAACAAATTTGTTTTTCAGAAAAAAAAAACAGCAAAAATTAAATAAAACAGTTCGTACGAACTAAACAAAGTGCTGTTTACTATTCATGAACCTCGAGTAGAAATCTGATAAAAGTGAAGATTCGTCTTTTGAAAATCAGATGCGGTGATTTGCTGCAAATTGATGTCTATATTATTCGCTCAAGTTGTTTTGATGATGGCGTTTGGCACACAATATCTTATGTTTAAAACCATGTACATTTCATTAAGCTTAATTTTTCTTTTGAATTCAACTCGAGCAACAAAAAAAGGCTGTAAGAAAGTATGCGAAGGAGAACTTGATTCATTAAAGGTAAATTTTTTATATAAAAATTATTTTATTACATTTTTTTTGTAAAAAATAAATTAGAATAGAAGATATATAAAATAAAATAGAAGTATGAAATCATTTAATTAAAACATCGTGGAGGAAATAAAGCGATTAATTAAATCATTTCATGGCTTGCAGGTTTTTGCTTAAAAGTTTTATTGAGTAGCTTTTTTTTTTTCAAAAAGTTTGTTGGGAGGGATCCAATTAACATCCATAACGAGAGATCCAGTTAAAATCCATTTGAAGATATACATCTAAAAATTTATATTAGCATAAATCATTATTTTGTTTTATATTTTGACTTTAGAAAAATAAATGTCTTCAGTGTAATTTGAGAAAATTTTTTCACCCCAAAACATTGTTTCCGGTTAATTTTAAGAAAATTATTAATCTCATTCCGTCAAAAATTTAAGCCAAAAAAAAAAAAAAAAAATTAAATTGTGCAAGTTTCTAAGCTGCTAAAAGCATCGCGTTATTTGAATTCGTTATTTGGATTCTAGTGCAACATTAAAAAGTCATACAATTATTGCTTCTTTTTTTTTTTTTTTTTTTTTTTTTTTTTTTTTGCAAAGATACGGTTGTAATAATTTTGTAACCGAAAATAACTAAAATAAAAATTAATTTGGACATCAGCAACTATTTAAAAAAGTAAAAACAAAACACCTATCATTGAAGCCTTTTTATTTTTATAAGTCGAGCTATCAATGAAGAAATCAAAATTATTGGACATTAAAATAAAAACAAAAACAAGAAAGGAAGAAGTAAGTGGCTTGGAAATGTTAAATGTTGTCAAGTTATTAAAATTTTGCAAGTTCTGAAATAAAATATCTAAAGCAAAATTTATTTTGATGGTGAATATTAGTGATTATATAATATTTTTAATTGCCCTCAGGATCAAATTGATATTTAAGCAGTATTAGATGTTATATATATATATATATATTTTTTTTTTGGGGGGGGGGGTAATTAATCTTTTTTAAGGAAATTTTTTTTCAAACTCCTAACTTGAATTTTGAATTTTTTTCAAACTTCTGATTTTTTAGCTTTCTATTTGTTAGTGGTAAGAATCGTTTTCTCCGCGGATATACTGTTTTCTCCGCGGATATACTATATTTTTGCATAATTACTCCAAAGGAGTGTGCATTTAAAGAAGTCTTATAGGACTGTGAAGTTTTACATGTCTGTTACTTATGGTAAATGACATAAATAATTCTTTTTTGTGTATTATTTAAAAAAGGAAATAGTTAAAACGCCTAAGAAAGCGAGCTTCTACCAATTAAAACATTCTAAACATAAGGAAAATAGTTGCAAAAAAAAAATACACATACACATACATACAAACACACAGGTCATTGGTCCTTGGTGCATTCTAAAGCATGTCGCGGTCGGGGCATCACGGAATGTTTCAGAATGTTTGGTAACGTTTAACCTAGATCTTGAGGACCGTTTTTAATAAAGTTTTAATTGTATCATTTTTATCAATTTTTACTAAACTTTAGCACATAGTGATTGTGACAAAGTTGAGCGAGGGAATCAAAAAGTCACTATTTACCGTAAAATATTGTATCTAATAAGCAATTATTCTTAATAAAATATGGGAAAATATACTCGCAGAAAATCAAAGTAGATAAGCTAAAAAAAATCATAAAAAATTCTAAAATATAACTATTGTAAAACATACGCATAAGGGCAAAAATATAATCTTTATACGTTGTGTTACAATTTAAGTAAATTAGGATAACAAATATAATTTATCCCTTCAAACCATGATTATTGTCTTGGCAGAATCCAACATATTTTTTTGTTTTTTATTGATCGAATAAAATGTCTAAAACAATACAAATCAAACATGAAGTAAATAATCAAAAAACAAAAACTTTTATAGCGGTAGATTTGCCCAGTTCTCCTTGTTAAGATAAGAAATGGCTGTTATATACGAATATTATTTTGCCAATACTCTAGCCACGGCTTCTATTTTTGCATCGTTCGAAGACTTTAATACTCAAACAAGTTGTAGGAAAGAAAAAAAAAAGAAATCGACGACATAACTAATATAAAAAAAGTATTAAAAGCTTTTTTTATCTTAAAAAGGTAAAAATATTAAGACAGATATTTACGGCTTCAAAGTTAAAAGAAGCTAAAGTGGATGTGGCATAATATGTGATTTATTACGCAAATTATAAAGGTTTAGCATCTATTGAAAGGCAGGAATCGATATGACTTGTGTAAATAATTTTTCTTTTTCAACAATGCAATGTTTCATGAATAATATTTCCGAAGAGGAAGATACATAAAAGTTTCAGGCTTTCTCTCAATAATTTTATTGATTAACTGCTTGCTGTAGATAATCATAAAGAATTTAACAGACCAGATCTAAAGTTCAACATTTAAAAGGTTTTTTTAAAAAACATTATTATCAATAATATAACCATATAAAATAAATTACATCCAAAAAATCATATAAAATTAATAAAAAAAATTTATTTGATGTAAAGTTACATAATTATTTCATTATTGTTACTAATTTTAAATATTATTATAATGAGACGCTTCGATAGTTTTGTACAACCGCCTTTAGTTGACGTTTCTAAAAAAGATATTTGAATCGTGTTTACTTATTTGTATATAAATGTTCATCTACAAGCAATAAAAACTTGTTCTGCTCTGTAGAGATAAATATTCTCTTTGCAAAAAATTATAATCACATATTATTATTTTATAGTAAATATTTCTATAAAGATTTTATAGAAAGATTTTTGCATTAACTATTTACGTCTAATAAATAATACAAATGACACTTTATTAAAAGCAGCTTTACGATTATGACATTTAATTAACAGCGGATAGCTCGTGAATATTTAAAAAAACGAAAAAAATCATACTATTTTTTTTACAAAGAAATCAGTACATAAATATTAATTTTTTTATTAAGTTATTAACATAGTTATGTAGTATAATTTAAATTTATACAATAAAGCATTGGATTTCTTTAAATTTAAAAAGTTCAAAACTTTTTCATAATTGCTCCTCCTACTCTACCTTCCGACCCCCCCGACCCCCAAACCCTCTAAATTTTATTTTTTTAAAAACAGTTTTCAAAAATATAAATGACAATTTGGATCAAAGGGGATTTGACTTTAAATTATTTTTGGATTCAAAAGAGTATTAAAATTTTTTCAATTTTTGATTTTATTTTAAATTTCATTTTAAAAATAGTATAATAGAGTCGAATACACCCTTTTGAATTTATATCCAAATAGTCTGATATTAATTTGAAATTTAAAAAAAGGGCCATATTTGTTTATGGTTAACTACTGCTTAGCTCTGTTCAACGAAATCAATTAATATAAATCAACAACTGTAAAACGTATTTTACAATAATAATATAAATTTCGTAATGAAAAAAAAAAGAAATTATTGTCAATGAGCAAATTAAAATGAAGTAATCATTTAACAATAAAATCTTTAATCCGTTTACAGTTATGTATAATTGAATTAGAAACCTTTCGTAATCTATAGTGCTAACTAGCGAACGTTTAATATAATTTATCTTCAAAAAAAAAAAACGTTTGATGTGCGACGTTAATATATTATTAAATATGTATCCTCAGCAAAAAGAAATAAGAAATAGAAAACTAATGTAGTATTTTCGAACATTATTTACATGCAAAACAGAAGAAAAAATAAATATTGAGAGAAATGCTTTTTTTTATACTTTTAATAACTTTGCCCTATGCATACGATGCTCGAAATATTTTTGAGAAAAGTTGGACTGACCAATCTGAAGTTGTAGATCTTCGAAAAATTAGAAACTTAGAAAAAAATAAAAACATAAGTCGTGATCGTATTAACTTTAAAGTAAGAAAAAATTGTTTTTTTAAACGTAGCTTTTTGTTAGATAAATGAATAATTTTGATAAATGAATTTTTATAATCGTTGTTTTTTTGGAATTATCGACCATTCCATTTTCTTCATTTTATGTGCTTTAATTTTATAATATTAATATCTTCCTTTTTTTTTTCCTTAGCAACAAGTAAAAAATTTGGAAGAAAAAATCGAACGATTAATACGAAATTCCAAGGATAAAAGTTTTGAAAACGTGAGAACGTTTATTTTTTGCTAAATATGCATGAAGTCGAATTTTTTATTATTATTAACTTTACTAACTTTTAGGTGAAAGCTGGGACGGTTTCTGTTAAATTGCCGGTATGCACAGCTGGTGAATATATAACATCAGACGGAACAAATCTATATTGCATGCGTTTAGGTTACCTTTATTTTTAAATTAAATCTATTTTATTATCCTAATATTTAATTATTTAAAGTCATGTATATATATATAATATATATATATATATATAGCGTTTTATGTATAAATTTATTTTTATTTAGGCAACTTGGGTAAGCCAATTGATAAAACCGTTTCAACAAAAGAAGCCAGCGACAAAAATAAAGAATTATTAATAAAACCGGATGGTAAATAAAAAGACTTGTAGTTTTAAATGAAATGTTGTTAAGTTATCTTATTATTTTTTTATTACTGGGATTTATATTCTTCTAGTGCCGGAATTTATATCAAAAGTACCTCGGTTTTACGAGATTCGCAAAATACAGTCTTTATATGCAGATACATGGGACTTGCATTCTTTTCAGTGGCAAGGAAACACCTACCTCGGCGTTTCTCAGTTGAGTGGAAAAACATTTACACTTTTTGAATGGGCAGAAAATGCGTAAGTGTTTTTATTTTTTGACATGTTTTACTTGACTTATTAGAATTTTTTTTTTTTTCAAGAAAAAAAAGAGCGTTTTTTTTTCTTAAAAAAAAAAAGCGTCATATTTTTTTAAAAAGATCTTTTTAAAACACTGATAATGCGTCAACCGTTACTTTTGCGTTTCTATAGAAGAAACAAGTTAATTTACTTTAATAAATCCCTAAAATTAGAAGAAATCTTATCTATAAGTTGTGGTTTTCTAAGGTTAAACATAAGTTATTATTATTATTAAGCTTTATTGACAACTCTTAAATGTGTCATAAAATATATCAAAAATAAATTAAAATTTTTAGTTATTAAATTTATTGTTTGCACTTATGTATAATTAAATGTAAAAATAGAATTTATCAAATTCAATTAATCTTTATAGTATTCTTATAGTAGACTATTCAATTTGTTAATTAGTATTAAATTAATTTACTTAGATTTGTTGAAAAGTCTATATTAACAGTTCCACTTGCTCGCAAGTGGACCTCGTTTGAATGGATGGGAGAACTATATATTGTAATTGCTTGCAACGCAATGCAAAGTAACAACGCTCCTGGATATTCATTCATTTACAAAATGTCTTCTTCATATAACAAAGACATTCAACTCTTCCAAAGACTTGAAATAGCTACGGCATTTAGTGTGACAACAATTCAACAAGATGGACATATTTTTATTGCATTTGTTTCAATCTACGGTCGCACTTCTTCTATATTTACTTGGAAATCCGGTGCTTTTGTTGAACATAGCAAGATTGAAGTTACTGGAACTGATATTGAAGCATTTCATATTGGAAATCGTGCTTTTCTGTCCGTTGTTGGTAGGTTTTTATTTTTATCTACGTTTTTACTTTCCAACGCGCTATGTATTACAAATTAAGGTCATGTAAGATCTTTATTATAACAATGCAATTTGTGTCACACGCTTAAATATTGCAGGTCGTGTAAAATATTATTATATAAACTGTAACTGACAACCGGAAGTGTCGTATTATAACCGGAAATGTCGTAATATAACCAGAAAATCTATCCTCTAGAGTATTAATAAAGATAAAGACAAAATTCAATATTACATTTTTTTTGCATAATTTAAATTCACAAGGTTCAAATTTACAAAAATATAAAAAAATTTAAACTAATCTTTTTATAAAAAACAAGTTTTATATGTTTTTATTAAATTTTGCTACTTTAGTATTTTAACAATGATGGCTGTATCTCAAAAATTGTATATAGCAAATGGCCATTTTTTATTATTCAGTTGTGTTTTGATACATTTATTTTCCTAAAATGCTATAAATGTTATTCATTTAGAGCAATTTGTCTTGAAACATGCTTCAAATGTTATTCGTATTATGAATAACATTCAAAGCATTTTAGAAGTCTGAATATGTCAAAATTCAACTGAAACAATAATAAAACAATTTGTTTTATTCTCATAAATAACCTCTCATCATGGCGGTGTCTTATTCAGAATGTGATTTTTATTATTTTCTTGAACTTAAAAACTTGAAAACCAAAATGTTTGCAACTACACATTATAATTTCTCCTTATAATCGTTTTTTTTAGGCACAACAAGTAAAGATAACTTTACATATTTGTATGAGTATATAGAGGGAAATTTTGTCCCATTTAAAAACCTTTTGATGGAAATTAGACCATATGGTTTGACTTATGTTAAAACAGGAAAAGAACATTTTTTGGCTGTTGCTCAATTCGATTTAGCTTTTTCAGTTATTTTTAAATGGAATGGAAAGGAATTTGAAGAATGGCAAAAAGTGGAATCGTGCAAGGTATTTGTAAATAATAACTTGTTTTATATTTTATTAAATATTAAAATATAAGAATTGAACGCAATGACTATTAATTTGATTTATATTTTTGATTTTCATGAAACCTTACTTTTTTATTCTATTTAGGCTAGAGACTTCGCGACAACTACAATTAGCAACAAGTATGGGAATTATACTTACTTAGCTGTTATAAACTATGATTGTAACCCAGTTATTTATGTCTATGACGATATAAGAACAACATTTGTAAAAATTCAAAAAACAGAATCAAATTGGTCAAGGGACATGGAGTTTCTACGTATGCCAAATAACGAAGTGTACTTGGCCGTTGCTGCGAATCAAGAAACAACAATATATACTGGTTCCACAACGTGATATTAAAGTATTAATGTATAATGAAGAAAATCTGAAATGATTATTTCCAGATTGAGATCAGAATAAACCTCATGTAGCGTATTCACGAAACCATGAGTACTCGCGACAAAAGTATTCAAAATCAGATGGAAAAAAACAAAATCATTATAAAAAGGAAAGCATAAACGCTAAAGTATTTACATATCTTTTCAAAGATTGTAAAAGCGTTAAAGTCGTTATGGGTGCCCTCATATTGAGGGCGGTAATTTTAAAGAGAATTTTAGCTAATATGATCTCCATTTAGATACGCTTGTAAATATATTAGACTTCTAATGATTTTAAGCCGAGCTTTTTATTGTCTAACCATATATTTAAATATAGGATGTCTTAACGGCATCAACATATTTCTTTTAAAAAAATAATAAGAAGTGTATGTAAAAATAAAAAAGAAAATACTGTTTTTTTCATGCCTTTTACTAAGGATTTTATAAAATATCATTTTTATTGTTATTTAACCATCGTAATCGTTTTGCAATCGCGCACGCATGCACATTTAGATGATTAATTGACATAATTACTAGCTTATTAAAGATATGTTGGACGATATATATAAATTATTTACAATTTTAGATTTATAACTTTTTTTTAGTTGTAATTTTCTATGCGGACTTGCTGTTTGGTTGATTATCAACTGATTTAGGTAATTGAGCACCTTTTAAGTCTTTTTGGAGTTTTTGAAATAAAATTAATACTAAGAGGTTTTATAGCAGTATGTTTTGTAATCTTGGAAACATTAAAACTTAAAGTTTGTAGGACATCTTCCGCAAAATGAATCAATGAGCACAGAAGAATATAAAGTTTTTATAACTAGTTAGGCTTAGATTTGATGTTAAAAAAGTTTTCTAGTTGAACTATTAACGATATTTCTTAGATACACTTTGCGAAATAAAAACAAAAAAAATTCACAGCTTTTGAAAATGCTTATCAAGTATTTTATATATTATGATGAGAAGACATTTTAAACAAGGTTTGATTTTATTTGATCTCATTTTTTTACTAAAAATGTTTAAATAAATTTAAAAATTTGATAATCGCCACCTTGTTTTATTGTCTATAAGTTGTAAAACATTAAAGTTGTAAACAACTAAAATAATTTACGGTTTTTCAAGTCTTCTTGACAAAAATGTTTTGACAATTTGTGAATTTATAGGGTAGCTGTTACTCCCTATTTAGAAAAGTTTGTGAATTCATAGGGTAGCTTCTAACTCCCTGATTAAATCCTGAAATAATAGATGCCCTTGGACATTAATTTTGCAAAATTCATTCAGTACACAAGTACATAAGAGCAAGTTTCCTCAGTTCTTTGTAATCTCAGGAAAATTGTTATTGATTTAGTGCCATTTTACAAAACTTTAATTTTTTTATAATCTGGAATTTAAAGAAATATCATAGCAATAAATTACGTGTTGTATTATACATTTTTTTGAAGAACCTTTAGTTACTTTGCTGCGTTGATGAACTTTTAGTTACATTGAAGAACTTTTGAAGAACTTTTAGTTACTTACTTTGAAGTTAGTTACTTACTTTGAAGAACTTTTAGTTTTGTGCTGCGTCTTTCTAATATAAAAGTCTTTTTAGCAAATCACAAAATACAAAGAATGCGTAAGATAAAATGTTCTAGATTCTCAAACAATTGATGTGACATTGATAGTTTCACAATTGTTTTAATATATTCAAATCCATGACATCTAAATGAGATCTTACTTGTTTAATTTTTAAATTCTTGAGCAAAATTTACTTTTTCCTTAACACTAATCAAGTTTTAGTTTTTAACTAATTGAATTAATTGTCATCATTTTATTATTTTATTGTTGTTGTTGTTGTTTTTTTTTATTTGCCAGAATATGTACAAAGTAAATTTACATTGAATATATTACCGGCAGGACTTCTAGAAGATCACAGATCTTATCATGAAGCCCTTTACAATCTATATAACAAAAAGAATACAATATTCTAATATTCTTCACAGTCTATATAATAAACAAAATAAAGTATAAATCAAAATAAATAAAAAAAAAACAACTTAAATACTAAAAATAGATATAAATATTTTGTGTTGAAAAGATAATTTCTTTTACTTTCCGAATAAGACCATTTAAAAGAAAAATCGAAATTAGGTAAAATTATTTTATTCCAAAGAGAAGGACCACGATAAGAAATACAAAACTGGTCAAATTTAGTTTGGCAAAATGGCTCTTCGATACTTTTACTGGCACGAAGATTATATTTGTTTTTAGGTTTCAAATTATAAAGATTTATAAATACATTAGGTGATATATTTTCTTTAGATTTAAACATAAAATATTCAAAACATTTAGTTCGTAAATATTCAAAACTTTCATTTCTTTAAGAAGTGGTGTTGAGCTTGAAAAACGATTTGCAAAATTAATTGTGCGAGCTGTGTGTTTCTGATGTCGATAGAGAGATTTAAGTTTGGTTTTGTGAGCGCTTCCCCATATTATATTTGCATAATTTAAATGGCAATGAATAATATAGTTGTGTTAATTGATGTTTATTTAATATATGTCTAACTTTATATAGAACTCCAATGCTTTTAGCAATTTTCATTGAAATATTATCAATTTGTTGCCTCCAAGATAAGTTTTCATCTATTATAACTCCTAAGAATTTTGTATTTTTTTCTCTTTTTAATTACTGTACTGTCAATATATAAGTCAGGCAAGATATTTTGAATTTTCTTTTTTTTAGAAGTTGGATGAAAAAGTATCCATTTTGTTTTATCGGTATTTAAAGACAACCTATTTTTCTTGAACCAATATGAAATACTTTTAAGTTCCTCAGTCATATTGTTAAAGAGTATTTTAATGTCTTCGTTGGACTGAAATAAACTCGTATCGTCAGCAAAAATTATAGTCGCTAAATTAGAAGTTTTGTAAAGATCATTTATGTATATTAAAAATAAGAGTGGTCCAAGTATGGATCCTTGGGGAACACCACATGTTACATTCGTTAAAAATTGAGGCGAAGATTCTTTGTTATAAACAAATCGTTTACGGTTACTTAGATAACTTTTAAACCAGTTAAGGGTTACATCTCTTATACTATAGCTTTCTAGCTTTTTCAATAAAATATGGTGATTTTGTCAAAAATTACCATATTTTATTAAAATTGATTAGTCAAAAGCTTTTGAACAGTGTCAACAGCTTTTGACAAATCAATAAATATGCCAAGAGTAAATTGAGAATAAGATATTATTATTGTCAATAAGATAAGTGTACAATCTGTTGTACATTATTTTTTGTAATATTTTTGAAAAGACTGGTAGAACTGAGATAGGACGATAATTTGTTACGTTTGTAGGGTCGCTTGTTTTAAAGATTGGAGTTATTTTTGCTATTTTCAAGCTATCTGGAAAAGATCCTAAAGAGGATATCTTTAATCGCATCAAAAGAGTCGATTATAATGTTCCCATTTATATCATCAGGCCCAGTTGCTTTATTTCTTTTTATTGCTTTATATGCTATTTTAAATTCACTAAATGTTAGATTTGAAAAGTTCAGAGTTGAATTTGTTAATAAAATAAATTCATCAACGGAGTTATTGTCTACATAAGGAATTTTATTTGATAAACTTTGTCCTATTGTTGAAAAAAACTTGTTAAATTCGGTGGCAATTTCCTTCGAATCGTTAACTATTTTATTTTTAATTTTTATTGCAGCCGGCATAGATTTTGTGCATGTCTTATGTTTACCAGTAATATCCTTCATTATTTGCCTAACTCGCTTTGAATTATATTTGTGCTTCATAAGCAAGTCCGAATAGTAAATTTTTTTTGGCTTTTTTGCGAAGTTTTTCAAATAAATTTTTATAGACTGTGTAAGTGATTTTATGCTTTTCTGATTTAGTTTTTAGATACTTAACATAAAGTTTTTGCTTTATTTTTAAGGACTTTTTAATTCCTTTAGTTATCCAAGGACAAGATAGGTCTTTGGCGTGAAGAATTGTTTCACGCAATGGAAAGTTTGCGTTGTAGGTTTTATAAAAAGTTTAAAAAAAAGAGTTATAGATGAGGTTTATATCGTCATTGAAATTTATATAGCTCCAGTCTTGATTCAAAAGTTGCTCTTTAAATAAATTTAGGCTAGTGTTGTTGTAAACAAGTTTTTTAATTGTTACCTTTCCATGCATACCTGGTTTGCTGTTTGCGCTTATGCAGAAAAAAATAGGAAAATGGTCAGAAACATCGGTTTTTACAATGCCTTTTTTAAGCGTTGTATTAAAAATGTTATTGGTTAGAATGTTGTCAATTAAAGAGGACGAATGATTTGTTATTCTAGTAGGTTTATCAATAATGGGTATTGTTTCTGTTTGGAATAAATAATTATAAAAATTTGTTATATTTTGTTTTTTATTATAATGGAAACAGTCTAAATTGAAATCGCCAAGTATGTAATTTTTTTTTTTTTCTTGGTTAGTTTTTTCTATTAAATTACTTATTAGATACTTGCTTACGTACTCAGCTCTTCCAGTCGGTGGCCGATAGCAGCAGCTTATTAAAATATTTTTAGATTGTTTGTTTATTATTTCAACCGTTAAAATCTCGATATTTTCATCAGAAACACTCATCTCGCGTCTAATATTATACGCTATGTTTTCTTTTATGTAAAAAAGTACTCCTCCTCCACGCTTATTAACATTACGCTCTAGAAACACTGTATTAAAACCTAGAAGATGGAGATTAGAGTTCGATTTAAAATCTTCTTCTACACACCAAGTTTCAGTTAAACAAATAACGTTAAAAAAATTTTCTGTTTCGCAAATCGTATTAAAAAAGTTATCAAAATTTTTTTTTTAACTTCTCATATTAATGTGGATTACATTAAAATAATCACGATTATCATCACTTTTAAAAATGCTTTTAATTTTATCTGAATAAAAGTTAGAGCATTCAAATTCAGGTCCATTAATCTCATTAAAATAATTAATATCTGGATCAGATTCAATTTCTAAATTAAAAGTATTAGTGTGAAATAAATTTGATACTTTTTCAAAAGCATTTCAATAAGATGAATCCATTTTAAATGTTTTTGTAATTTTGAATATATTATTTGAATATATATTTTAAATTCATATGTATATATGTACACTCACATACACACACTACATACATAAACAAATATATACATATATATATTAAAACATATTTTTTAAAATTAATAATTGATAATAGTCTTTTAAAAAGACTTTGTGATTAATTTATTATAAACCACTTTAGCAAAATTACCTGAAGAACGTATTTCTTTAGCTTTAATAAATAACTG